TCTCCCTTTGACATGCAATACCGCTCACATTTTTTGAAAAATATACGCGAAAAACTAAACGCGAATAACTTATGCGACATGTGACATAACTCACGGGACGTCGCATGAGTTATGTCACATGTCGCATGAGAGATGCGACGGTCGCCTAATGTATGGACATCACCGTCGCATGGCCATATCTCGCTTCAGAGTGGACGAATTCCGAATCCAAAGCCACCATTCGATTTAGCTCGGTGCCATCTTCTAATATATTGGAAGTGGGGTTACGATGTTCTCGATATTCCGTTGCCAGTTTTCTCAAATTCTTCTGCGGAGGTCCTTGCGCGAGCATGTGAAGCAGCAAGCATTGTCCCGAGTAAATTCCAGCAAGGACCTTTCGATAGTACTTTCTCAGTAGATTGTGATGCGCTAAATAGTAGCCGCAGCTTTCTTTTCAAAGAAACTAGAAGGACTAGTGAGTTGTGGAAAAATCTTGTCGTCCCATATTCTACTCGCCATAGCCCTAGAATACAAAGCTATCTTGCTAACAGATGAGAATTACGAAATGAGCAGGTCGGATAACCTTTATGAGCAAGTATTCCGATATGCTCGGGTTATTTCTTTTCGTTTTGCGCTCTGGAAGCTCGCCGATGGATTTGGTCAAAATGTTGATGCTCTTGAATTATAAGGAAACTTCGCTTATAGAGGTTTTCGAAACACGCTCTTTACGAAAATTGTGGTCTTTGAGGATTACAGGGTCTTCTTGGAGAGATACGGTGAGGTGACTGTAACTGCACCACGAAAGTGCGTAACTTGTTCTTCATTTCTCGTGTGCCTTTCAATAAACTCGCCTGCATACTTTTATAGATTAAAGTTACTAGGAACCGTGCTATCGAATGCTGCATGACTCAGGCTCCAGCCTATGGAATCGCCGAGTTACTAGCCTACGAAAACACGACCTCATGAATTTTGCTTCAAATGTAAAGATCGCAAATTTCGTCGAAATTCCACCGTGAGTGCTTGTATGACACTCGCATTGCGGATATTATGTTCGCTTCGCTCAATGACTCCCACTGTATTGAATATTGTGCTTGCGTGTGCTTCTGCAATTGAATATTAAAGCTATTTCGTGACTAGAGCTCAAACTACCAAATTAACACAATAAGATCCATTAAGGATGTGAAAAGATTTGATCAGCGTGGTGAATTGCTCACGGTGGAATAAAATTTGGGATCTTCACCTTTTGGGCAAGATCCATGAGGACGTTTATTCGTGGGCTCGTAACTCGGCGAATTTTACAGACTGGAGTCATGCACTATTCGGGCAGTTACGCGACAAGTGCAGGTCAAGTTACGCACTTTCGTGACGTTACAGTTACCTCACCATCATGTCTCTGCAAAAAGACACTGTATTCGTCAAAGACCACCATTTTCGTAAAGAGCGTGTTCGAAAACCTCTATAAGCGAAGTTTCCTTACAATTTAAGATCATCAACATTTTGACCAAAATCCATCGGCGAGCTTCCAGAGCGCAAAACGAAAAAAAAATAACCCGAACATATCGGAATACTTGCTCATAGAGGTTATCCGATCATTTCGTAACTCTCATCTGTTAGCAAGATAGCTTTGTATTCTAGGGCTATGACGTGTAGAATATGGGACGGCAAGATTTTTCCACAATTCACTAATCCTTCTAGTTTCTTTGAAAAGAAAGCTGCGGCTACTATTTAGCGCATCACAATCTACTGAGAAAGTACTATCGAAAGGTCCTTGCTGGAATTTACTCGGGACAATGCTTGCTGCTTCACATGCTCGCGCAAGGACCTCCGCAGAAGAATTTGAGAAAACTGGCAACGGAATATCGAGAACATCGTAACCCCACTTCCAATACATCAGAAGATGCTCCCGAGCTAAATCGAATAGTGCCTTTAAATTCGGAATTCCTCCACTCTGAAGCGAGATATGGCCACGCGACGATGATGTTCATACATTAGGCGACCGTCGCATCTCTCATACGACATGTGACATAACTCATGCGACGTCCCGTGAGTTATGTCACATGTCGCATGAGTTATGCTACATTCGCGTCTATTTTTCAAAAAATGTGAGCGGTATTGTAAGTCGTAGGAAACATTGAGCTTTCACAATTCATATATCATCTGAATGCATTTGAGAGTTGATTCCATATGAATTCACAACCGGATTCATGAAGTTCTGAAAATGTTATGACCTGTTGAAACTTGGAGACCGATTATTCACCTGCTTTCCTCATGGACCTGGCTCGCGGCGATGTTTCAGTAGATCGGCATGGCTAAGGTATGGGACAAATTTTTACTCTACCAAATTTGTGAAATCGCTAGCAACTTAAGATGGCGTAGTTTCTGGAAGCTGATTTTCGGCGAACCGCGCTCATGTCGACCTACTTTTTACTCTATCTGATAGAACAAAACCCACACTTTGTAATCAAAAATTTCATTACAAGCGAGTTATTGAAATCAAACAATAGGCACGTTTTTCGGCACATCTTGTATATATATGGTTCTATTCACTGTAATCGTGGCCCCTTGAGAGGGCCGTTGGCTCAAAGCTGTTGGCCGGAAGAGCGTTAAGTTAGAGCTTTTGAAATCACCATAAGTCATCAAGAGCTTAGTTTTTCGAAATTTTGCAAGTACTGAGGCATAAATGCGTCCATGGCGTGTGATGGTCTTCGAGTGCTCGTGACAGGCGAGTTCCTAACAAGGAAAGTTCGCTGAATCGAAGTGGCCGATTGATATGTGATAATATATCCGGGCTCGGGGTTCGGGAGGTTAGTATCAAATGTGCGCCCATTAGCTGCGACGCGTTATTGTGAAGCAAGGTATGGCCCTCTGAAGTTTTTGGCGTGTGCATGTGTAGCGAATGCATAAGTTTCCGGTCGTGCTCGTTTGGTGTAGTGGTTAGTGTCTCGGTCTGACCGGTGGGGGTTCGAATCCTGTTGCTATCCACATGTTTTGCGTTCTTCTCAAAATTCATTTTTTACCTGTTTTATGTATTACTAGCTGGCATACCCGGCTCCGCCCGGCCCTGTCAAAAACGATAAAGGCACCTTTACCTGTGCCCACTTTTACCTGCAATTCCCTATTCCCGCTGTGTTAGTATTCAGTATGATCATCTACCTTCCTCACCAACCTTGTGGTGGGTCTTGCCCAAACTCGGTATATGGGGGTTATTCAGCCGCTGATAACGAATCGTAGTCATTTTGCGTGGCAGCGGATAAAAATTATGAACCTACCTGAGACCTTGGCAGGGAATTACCTAAAGTGCTGTTTCAGGAATGTCGTGCTCAATCCTCACGATAATGGCAATCCGTGTGGTATAAAAGTTTCCCACGACCGCAATGCTTTCCTTATAGGACCACTGCCGCGCGCGACACACCCTTCGGCGGCTTTTGCCTAAGCAGAAATAATGGGAGGGAGATTTGTCGCGTGCGATACACCCTTCGGCGGCTTTTGCCTAAGCAAAAACAGGGTGAGGGAGATTTGCCGCGTGCGTAACACGTTGGGACAGGCAGGATGGCGCTGGAGACCGCCATGCAAAACGACCGCTTCTTCATCTTGTAAATATCTGGGATCTAAATCGGCCCGAAAGCCAAAAATATTCCATTTAAACCCTGCAACTCAGACAGCGAGCAAGCATCATATTCATAAGCAGTATACTTGAGGACCGTTACAGGTAAGGTTTTGAGCAAATCTGGAACTTCAACCCATCTACTGTACACCCACCGTAACCCAAGAAAATGCACTATCCTGATCAACATGATAATAATGTTCAGCGCGCTAAATGACCACCCTAAACGAAGTTTAGAGCAAATCTATGTTTTCGACCCTATACCGTATAACCACCATAACTCTATGAAAAGGTCCCAATATGCAAAGAGAGTATGAAATTCGTAATCAGCATGTCGAATAAGTTCTCTGGACCGAACTCCAGCCGAATACATGATTTTGACTCCCTACCCACACCTACCGTAACCACACGGGGAGACGTTCTGCGGAGAAAGTGTGATATCTGTAATCAGCATGTAGATAACCCTTATACACGAAGTTTGAGCAACCTCTACGACAAAAAAATTTTGGGTCCGGATAGCCGAATAGCGCCAAACTAATATAGTTATCGTAATCAGCATGCTCACTTACCCCCCTGTGCCAACTCCCAGCTCCGTAGGTGAATTCTGCAAAAAATCGATAGAAATCGATAAAATCGATATCGATCGATAGCGAAAAGTAGCCTATGACACGCTCCCTGTCCCGAAGTGTGTGTGCCAAGTTTGGTCCGGATCGGTTCAGAAATGGAATTTTCTATCCGGAATATACGTATATACAGACATACATACAGACATACAGACATACATACAAACAGACATTCAGCTTTATATATAAGATTTTTTTATAAACAGATGAGCGGTCCTTTAACGCCGAGACATTAGCTAAGCGCATGAAATCCCTTCGCGCGTACTTACCATAGTGTGCAGAAAACTTTGAACATGTAAATGGTACTCTCGAAGTGTTATAATTGTCCACAATGAATGCTGCAAAATTCATCATTTGTAAGAATTCTGACAGCGGGATTATGTCATCATTGTGGCATTATGCCACAATAATTTCAGGTGTTGAGTACATGCAGAAAATCTAAAAACATCCCGCGTCCCTACTTACCAGGACCAGAGTTCAAATCATATGCTAAGATTGAAAGATATCAAAAAAGTGGGCTGTAAGTTGAACTTATTTGCAAATGTGTTTAGTAAAACAAAAATCCTGTTGGTTGTTTTTATGTCGTGAAGCTATAAAGTCAGTCCTAGTTACAAGATAAACAATTCGCAGTAGTCAGCGTATCATACGAGATCATACATGTTTACGCATGACGCAGTTCAAAAGCGAAAACTCATTTTATGATCTCGGACATTCAATCAGTGTGCCCTTTAGCATGTTTGACACTCACACATTGGTGAAAATTTCGTATAAATGTGCTTGGCATAACATGAGCAATGTTGCAATATCTGAAAATGGTGTTCTACTTCGTTCTTACTGTAAGTGCATACTCTTAAGTTCAGTATCTTGATGGCCAATTTCAGCTTTTGGCAGCGCTTCCTGTGTGCCAAGGCTTCGATCTTGCATATATGCCTGTCGACTTTGGCGGTCCCAATGAAGGCAGTCCCCGATGGAAAGAGAACTTCACGAGAGCATTATCTAAACTCTGCGGTAGCCAAGAAAAGGATTTTATGGTGTGCACATCTATGTCATTTATGTATCTAACAAGGGAAGCTACCTAATTTACTTCGGCCTTTTGAGAAGGGACATATATTAGGTTGTCTTATAATTAATGCACGTTTCTATTTGCTTGCTTTAACAAAGCAACCAGACTCAACCCAACAAAAGGTAAGGGGTACTGTTCGATAGAGCAAAGCAAGCTCTACAAGATGGCACTCATGTCTTTGCGCCATGCTCGATCCACGGAAAGTTCGAACTCAAAATCCAAAGATTTCCAAATGCACAAAAAAGCGAAAAAGATCAGATCTTCGTCCAAATAATTTCTACGGACCTCCCACTCGCTCACATCAATACTATCGATATCTGATATCCATATGTGCGATTGCCGTATTTTTTCCTTGACTAGAAACTGAGAAAACGAAAATTTTCGTGTTTTTCTAAAAGCAATGCTGAACCGTTTTTGCATATGTAGTTTTATACTACAAGCCTAGGTAAGCATAACTGTAGGTTTTCAGCCTATTTCGAGCGGTACTTTTCGAGAAATGTCGATTTTAGCACTGAAACTGAAACGAAAAAATCCGAATTCGTTATTTTTCGAAAACTACCGCTTGGAATGGGCTGAAAACCTACAGTTATACTTACCTAGGCTTTTAGTATAGAACTACATATGCAAAAACGGCTCAGCACTGCTTTGAGAAAATCAGGGAAATTCTCCTTTTCTCAGTTTCTAGTCAAGGAAAAAATACGACAATCGCACGTATGGATATCAGATATCGATAGTATTGATGTGAGCGAGTGGGAGGTCCGTAGAAATTATTTGGACAAAGATCTGTTTTTTCGATTTTTTAGGCATTTGGAAATCTTTAGATTTTGAGTTCGAACTCTCCGCGGGTCGAGCATGGCGCAAAGACATGAGCGCCATCTTGTAGAGCTTGCTTTGCTCTATCGAACAGTATCCCTTACCCTTTGTTGGGTTGAGTCTGGTTGCTTTGTTAAAGCAAGCAAATAAAAACGTGCATTAATTATGAGACAACCTAATATATTCTGAATCAACTTCAAACGCTGATTCAAGATGCTATTCCTAGCTGCCGAGCACCATTCCAAAGCGAGTTATGGACTTTTTCCTGCGCAAAATTTGCATACTCATCGATTCATTGACATTACTGCATCATCACCTAAGCGCTAATATACTTGCGTTAGGATTCTTTTTAATGATAAAAGATTGAATTTGTGTTATTTCAATATCTCAGCATCTATTTTTGCAGATTTTTATCTACAAGCAGCCTTCGTGTGTTCTGTAGTACGCCAATTTTGCGCAAAAAAATCCCCATAACTCGTCGGATTGGTGCTCGGCAGTTAGGGATAGCATATTTGAAATCAGCGTTTAAAGCTGATCCAGAACATTTATGTCCCTTGCCAAAAGGCCGAGCTAAATTAGGTAGCATTCCTCATATGTTAAGGACAGCGGCTTGTTCTAAACCGGTGCATAATCTTGACATTTATCAAAGCTGTATCCTAATGAACTTGACGATTACCAAATTCAATTGTAGCTTCTGATTGCTTTCGTGAATGACTGCGTATCCATGCAATTACTCGCTAGACTGCTTCGCTTTCACTCAGCTCGCTAAAAATCTCCTTTTCAGATCTATTCCGAAAAATTGGGTGCCTTGATTGATAAAGCGTACCAAAACATGCCAGAAGGAGAAAACGGATATACTGAGCTCGGTTATAAACGCGTATACAGAACACGGGGACTGTGAGTCACAGTATTGTTGTTCTTGGTTATAATAACATGAATAATCAAATTTTAGGGACCGTGGCGACGCAAAAGCTGCAGCAGAGTCATTTGCCGCATTCCTCCAAGGAAAACTTGGATCAGTCACTTGCCAAGTAAGTCAAATTGAGGTTGAGATAAAAACTAATATTAGGGCAGCATTGTAGCATCGTACTATATACTGTGACTGATTTGGAAAAAAAAAGTTTGTTCTGGACTTCATAGACACTTTTTCAGACGCTCAAAGGTCACCGCCACTTCAGGTGTCGAGTGTTCCGAGTAAATATGGGTCTTTGGATAGGACAGCCTATCATCTACTGTGCATTCTCTAATTCGTAGTCTGACACCGTAAAAAATAGTTATTTATTCTTCGAATGTTGTACTAAGTATAGATAGTGAAACAACTCAGTAAAGATAAAATAACCTATCTATTTTGCAAGAAGCGTTCTGTTCAAGTAGTGAATAGAGCAAAGTTTCTGCAATGCAATCCTTTCTTCGCATCTCTCGTTCTGCATCACAGAATTTTACAAATCAATCAACATTGATCAAAACTCGTTATTGGTGTACACAGAATTGCGAAATATCGGCAAGCAAACAATTTACGTTCGTTCTCTTCCAAGCGGAAGCTATTAATTAGTTTCAGAGTGAAAATGTGCATCAGATGGTAATTTTTTGGCCCATGCTCGATTTTTTTGCTTAAGTAAAAAGTTTCCAACTTCTGTCTCCAAAATTTGTATCCTGGACTTTCTTTGCAAAAGCAACGAATGCAGGTTGAGATGGACAAATGCACTTTTTGCTGGATGAGCACTGACAGTGATCTTGGCTAATTTAGGATTATAAGCATAAACCGTAGTCTACGTCCAAACTTTCTTGGACATAGTAAAGTATACCCAAGCAGGAGGACAAGTTTTGCAAGGCCACTTTGGCCCAGATGGACCGTGGTCCCGGTGGCCCAACTTCGCCTTTTCTTCCTCTTTTACCTTTGAGTCCAGGATATCCACGTTCCTCAGGCTGTCCTTTCAAGCCTTCAGGTAGCATTTCTTCACATCCACCATCTCTGCGTTGCAAGTTGACTAATTATCGTCACCATCTTGTCCCCTCATTCCTTTATCTCCAGTCGGCCCTCGAGATCTTGGTTCACCAATTTCGCGGCTGTCCCAGCTGTGAACACATTTCTCGGTTCATCAGGCGTCTTCTGGAAAGCGAGTAGGTTTCCTCATAACATTATGATTGAAATTTGAAAAAACTAGATTTGGCCGACCCTGGCTCACCCAAGGGACATTCATAAACGCCTAGTGGTCTAGCATTAAGATCAGCAAGACGACCAGCACGTCCTGGTTGTTTTTTGAAGCTTTGAGTTCTTTTGAGTTACCAAATCTAAGGCTGCGTTCATACTGATCTGAAAGTTCGGAAACAGTTGCAGCACAGCGTTCGAACTGAGCGCTGTGCTGAGACTGTTCCCGAACTATGGGATCAATTTGAACGCAGCCTAAACCGTCCTGCTCGTAGCTGGCATTCCATCCGTGCCATCTCTAATAAGTGGATGTCTTGGATTCCCTTTCGGTCCAAGAAGACCAACGCAACGCGCCGAAAAGCTGTATCTTTATTACGTAAAAATTCATAAGAGAGACCGAATGCAAATAAGACAGATAGAAAAGTAAAGTGAGTATCATATAGACTACGAACTTACATGCTATCTCTCTTTTCTATCTTATACTTCTATGCAGCTCTACTTTCGCTATGTCCACTTTCCATAGCTCTCTTATAAGTGTCTAAAAGGGTAGTTGAATATCTATTTTATGAACTGCAGTTGTCAGTGCACCGAAAAAAAGAGAAACAAACAGTGAGGTCTAAAGTTGCAATAGTACATGTTCCTGCGAAAAGAATAATTTAAGGCGCACTTTTGCTGGGTCATGTCGTCCTCTATCTAAAGACGGTGGGGCGCCTACTACCGAAATCCTGGTCCCTATGCCGGACGCAAATTTGCTAAAGAGAGACCAGGGCTTGGCTGACCGACTTAACCCTTAACGAACGAGTCGCGTGGGACCCTGGGAGAGCGAGTAGGGGGGGGGGGGGACCTCGAGGTAGAAGGACCACCAATACCCTCAACTTCCTTGAACGGCTATTCCCCATAAGGAGAGGTTTAATAATACAGCTGAAAATTTCGGAAACGACTGGCATGAAAACACATTTGCAAGATTGCTCAGTAAAACAAAAATGGTCAAAACGCGAATCATCTGAACAAGAAATGGAAAAAACAACAGATATCACTAAGCAGATAGCAAGGGTAAAAGCGAGGGACGCCATTTCGTAGCAACAGCTGTCGAGGAGACATTGAGTTGACGCCATATAAATATCTGAAAATTTTAAAGCTTTCAGAATATCGATTCGGGCTAGTCTTCTTCGGAATAATTTTGGCCTGCTGCTGGCTGTGATCTTGCGTGGCAAAAGCCGTAGCTATCTCGATGTTCAAAAAACAAAAAAATCGAACGCTTTCGAAAACATTCTACAACCCAGCCTTCTATTAGATAGATGCAAAAGTTTTGCCAGTTTTTTCAATCCATCGGCAAACACGCTAAAATGAAGATAAACAAATACTTCAAAATGCATCCGATTTACAATTTCCTCCTCTTTTCAGATGCTAAACTCCCACTGTGTTTCAATGAGAGGGTGATGAGATATTCGCTGAAAATTGCAACCATTTGTTTTTACCATGTTCAAGTTTCACTAATTTTCAAAATTAATGTATGAGACTTTCGGAGGAGCGCTAATAACCAGCAGATAGAGCAAACCTTCTGCCAACAGAGGCAATTTTTTGTAGCCCTACGGCTTGTCTTTCAGAATTTCTACGATTTATTTTTTGAAGTGACCAAATTTTACATTCAGCCTATTTTAATCTCGTAGAACATAAAATGTTGAACACTTCACTCACCATTCAATGCAACCTTTCCTCCTTCTTCCAACATTTATCTTTTTTTGGCCTCAGGCAAAATTTGTGGGAAAAACCGCAGTATTTCTCAAATTCTGGAGTGCCCAACGACGTAACCTATGTTTCAAAATCTTCACAATCTGAAGCGAAAATCGCTCATTTATTAGGTTGTCCCGAAAGTTTTGTCGGTTTTTTTCATCGCTCACCAAAGCTCACAGAACACCAATCCATAAACGACTTAAGCGACATTCTATTCAGATTTTTATCCTCTTTCCTACAGCTATATTTGCTCTTTGATACACTCTGTCTTTCCCATGTTATCGCCATGGCTTTTTGAGCAGCACAACAGTAACGCCAAATCTTTCCTAAATTTTTAAAATTTTTATACTAATATATTTGAAGAGCGCTGGTGACTGTTATGTAGAGCAAACCTCTGGCTACATTGCATCTATTTAAGATTACGTGGGCCACGTTTAGTGAGTCCGTTATGATTATTTATTTAATAAGAACCACAGTTTTTTGACTACGTTTACCACGTAAAAGTACCGAAAATTCTAAAAAGCTGATTTTTGAAGCACTTGGTTATATTGCATATATGATGTTTAATAACAATCAAGTTTGAATTCGCAGAAACTTCGAAAGTTTTCTTGCTTTTGCTGCAGTCGAGTGTTTCATGACTTTGCCAATATCATGGCCTCCGAAGAAATAATTTTTTGAGCTAAATACAGCAGATTAGGAGAATGTAAAAATATCTCCGTAAAGTCCTGGAATTGCTCTATTTGATCTACACTAACCCTCTCCGAAACATTGAAACGAAATTTCAAAAAATTAGCCGAACTTTGAGCAGATTAAAATAGCGAGTGAGGAATTGTGGCAATTATCAAAAAAAGCATACAGGACTGCGGTTCCAAAATGTAACCATAAGAAAGAGAAGAAGAAGCTGCATCGAATGCACTTTGATATTCATTCAGTTCTATACTGTGCGTGGCTTTATAGTGGTTTGAAAAAAACCGACAAGGAACAGCCTAATACTTTGAAATGGTAGCGGTAGTAATAATCGAGTGTTGAAACTTCAGTATTTTGTAGGTTTTCGTTTGATGCAATAACAGCTTATGCGATTTTTCCAAAAACAAGTTTTTTAGAAAATTATTTAGAAGAAATCTGAAAAACCAGCTGAAAAAGAAAGAAAAACTTGCATAAGTTGGCAAAAGGTTTGCCCTATCTGGTGGTTATTAGAGCTCCTCTGAAAGTCTCATATAAAAATTTTGAAATTTAGTGTAATTTGGACATGGTAAAAACGAATGGTTGCAATTTCCAGCGAATGTCTCATCATTCTCTCAACGAAACACACCGTGAGTTTGGCAGCCGGAAAGAGGAAGAAATTCTGCATCGGATACATTTTGAAATGTTTGTTTATCTTCAAAAAATTGACAAAACTTTTGCACCGACCTAATATAACTCAAAGAGTCCACCCATTCGACTGCTACAAGGTCTGAAAACCCAATATTTACTGGGTCTCAGTCTTGTTTCTAGTCGAACTGAAGTAAAAGGCCAAATCATTGAAATCTTGTGTACTTTAAACTTTTTAAATCCAGAGTGGGTAACCTCGATCGGTAGGATGGTAAAGTGTGAGGATAGTCCGAACTAGGATAACACTGTAATAAACAATTATTGTAAATATTTTCCGTACTTTTTCTAGAGATTGGATATTTTTTGACAAAAATGGGCTCCAAACAGGTGAAGCATACTCCAAATGTGGTAAAATATAAGTTTTATTTGATTTTACCAGCAATTTAGGGTCGTTACAATGGATATTGCGTAAAAGGACAAAAGGCTTGATAGCGCTTTTTTTGCAAGTCGAATCGCAATGCTGCGAGAAAACTTAATCTACTGTCGATTACACCAAGATCTTTTGTAGACTCGCAGATCTCGAGTGCGATACCGTCACCTACGTAAGATGGAGACTGCGAGTCACCAAGGTGCATACTTTAGACTTCAATGCATTGATAGGAAAAGACCATTTTTTGAAACAGGAAACCACTTCTTGGATTGATAATGAAATTGCCGCAAATGCCTCGTCTTGCCTACCGATTTCATAACAAAAATATATTTTGATGCCTTTGGCAAACATTTGTACTCTGATATCAGGTGTGGTCAAAAAGTTCGGTAGTTCGGCAGTATAAACTAGAAAAACGGGTGGTGAGAGTATTCTACCTTGAGGCACACCACTACTGCAACGGTAACGTTTTGATAAACAGCTTCCGACGCGTACAGTCATACCTCTGTCATGCAAGTAGGAAGATATCCAAAACAGTAAGTGACCTCGAATACCGTAACCTTCAAGCTTTCAACAGCTTGCGGTGATCTACCTTATCGAAAGTCTTCGAGAGGTCAAAAAACACTATATCGA